GAATGCTGCTCACACCCACCTGTCACACGTCGTCAGGCGTTTCAAGGAACAGGCTGATCGTCAGCAGCGCCCTAACCCGGCATACTCTCCTGGACAGTGGGTCTGGTTATCCACCTGTGATCTTCGCCTCAGACTTCCCTGCAAGAAACTCAGCCCCAGGTACGTGGGTCCTTTTAAGATTGAAAAACAAATATCTGTGTCTGTTTGGCTCTACCTAACCACTATCGCATCTCTCCCACATTTTATGCATCTCTGCTCAAGCCTGCTGCTAGTCCAGCCGAGGTGGATAGGGAGGTGGCAGCCGGTGAACAGGGTCCTCCACCCATCATCGTAGACGGAGAGGAGGCGTATCAGATCCACGAGATCCTGAGCTCCAGACACCGGGGTGGACTTCTTCAATACTTGATTGAGTGGGAGTAGTACGGCCCGGAAGAACGATCATGGATTAATTGCACGCATATTCTTGACCCCTCTCTACTAAAAAAATTTAATCTACGACATCCGGAAATGCTGGCCCCTCATCCCCGGGGAAGACCCCCGGCGTCGTTTGCCCTCTCACGTCAGGAGCCGATAGCAGGAGGGGGGCTCTGTCACCGACTCGGTCCCAGTCATTGCCCTCACTGGCCAGCAGAGGTCTCCATCACCGGACTATTGAACACTACATCACCCACAAACCCATTCAGCCAGCTGATTACGCTGCACCTGACTCTCATTACTCCAGCACATACACACACACATAAAAGCAGCTCTCGCTCTCACTTCATTGCGAAGTCTTGTTCTGCCTTGCTGACATTACTTAGCGTACTTATCCTAGCCTGATCTTCTGTTGCCAACCCGAATTGTTTTCGACCTTGTCTTGCCTGCCGCCTGCCTTGATAATCTGACTGTCTTACCGATCTTGCTACTCGCTGCCTGCCCCTGACCCATGCCTGCTACTCTGATACACGAATGCCAGCCGCCTGCCTATCGACCTTATAAGCCTGTGATTCATGTACCAGTGCATACTGTGTGTTTATTATTAAACTGTGTTTAATAAACGTACTGCAAATGGATCCCTCTGTGTCAGCCTCCTCGTTACAATGTACAATTATTGAAAATTAAAATGAGATAGTAAGATATAATCAACCACGAAAATGTAAATACAAATGTAAATAAAAACAAATGAAAAAGCTTAATTAAAGTCTTAGTCCTATCAAAAAAGCAAACACTGAACATCTCTCTATATTTAGGTTAAAAGACTCCTTTATTTATTTATTTTATTTTTTGTGGGTTTACTTATTTGTACTGAATGTTTGTGCTTTCATTTTAGTTGTCTTGTATTTCTTCAATTCTACTTTGCAAAATGAATCCTTATTGCACTTAAAAGTTCACAATGATAATAAAGCGTGTTAACCAATCACAAACTTTTTTTTTTGGGCTCTGTGTGAGTGTGGTGTGTAAGTGTGTATTTATCAAAATAGTCGAGAGTCAGAGAGATGGAGAAGAAACGGAAGGGAGGCACAGAGAAATTGTGGAAAGCACACTGGCGTTTCATCTAGCATTTCTGAAAAAAAAAACTCCCTCAGTGCAACACAGCTGAAAATGCAGACCATGTAACAACATACACACACACACACACTGTCATGCGCTGCAGCCAGGCAGTCAGCGGGTGCTTTGAGCACAAAACCCCAGGTATGAGCAGCGCACATCAGACAGTTCAAAGATGATTTAATCTCACTATAGTTGTTAAACTTGATACTTAATTCATCTTGTCTATATCTAATGACTCTTTGGTCTTTTGAATCTATTACAGTAGCTACTTGTTCTGAGGTAACTCGTTTTGGCAAGTCACGGTATATTTCATATTTTTCTATGAAAATAAAGAGGTAGTTATGTTATCTGTTTAGTTATAAATATACATACAGTGAAGATTATATAAATATGTAACTACACAAGGCCTTAACATTTTTGGTGTATGTTATGTTGAAAACGGGTATTTCCATATATATTGTTTTCATTTCATTAAGATGATAAAACAACGTAGCCTGCAGGGTGATGTAAATAAAGTTAAAAAGTAGCCTACACTGTTCTCATTGAAGATTTACCTCTAGAACTTTTTGTTATGTTTCTTATTAAATATAGGTTGAGTGAATAGTGTGTTGAATAAGCTAAATTTTACATAGTGTGTGTGTGTGTGTGTGTGTGTGTGTGTGTGTGTGTGTGTGTGTGTGTGTGTGTGTGTGTGTGTGTGTGTGTGTGTGAGAGAGAGAGAGAGTGTGTGTATGGGGGTTTCCAAGTACTGGGCAGAGGTTGGAAGGGCATCCGCTGTATAAAACATATACTGGACTAGTTGGCGGTTCATTCCACTGTGGTGATTAATGATTAATAAAAGTTATTATTAATTATGAATATTCAGAATGAACTTATAGTTAATATAAGATTAATAAATATAACAATGACTTCACCCACTCATCTAAGCGGACTCTGTAATTATTTGTTTATTCAGAAAGGCAATTATAGCTACTTCTTGTGACATAGATGAAGAGTTTAGAAGTTTTAAGCTAGTAGCAAGGATCTTTTACCATAAAAATTACCATTTCTGTGAGGCAAAACAAAGACAATCAAATGTAGTTATAAAGGGATTTAATGACTAGCCTAACATAACGAACAAACACTTAAAAATATACCAAAAAAGCAGAAAAAGAAAGTGAGGAAAATAAAGAATTCTGATAAAAGAATAGCAAATCTAACTCTGTCCCACACAACTATTAAGATCCTCCAAGTATGTAAACACCTTAAAAGTGCACTGCGCAAAATGCATGACTAAATACCTGTATTTCTTGGTCTTTCTCTCTCTTCCTGTGATCTTTCTCTGATGCTTGGAAGATGAAGTCTTTCAAGAACTCTTTTGTTGTTTGTGTACAGTTTGCAGCGGAGATTGTGTAGGGCACGATTTTTAACTGAGTTTAATTTGCCAGAAAGTAAGGACTTTAATTCAGGGCATTAAAGAAAGTATGCAAAGTTATTATCATGCATTCTGCATCATATGTTGTAAAATAGAAGGAGAAGCGTAACGATCCCAAGCATGACACTCTAACCTCTTCGTAAACCAACAGTAATGGTTTCTGATAAAACCCGACTCTACACCATAACTTTTCAGCTCAACTCCTTGTTCAAGCTCTTGTTCTCTCCAAACTGGATTACTGCAACTCTCTACTAGCTGGGCTTCCAGCTAACTCTATCAAGCCTCTTCAACTGTTCCAGAACGCAGCAGCACGAGTGGTCTTCAATGAACCTAAACGAGCACCTGTCACTCCGCTGCTAGTCCGTTTGCACTGGCTGCTAGTTGCTGCTCGCATCAAATTCAAAGCTCTGATGTTTGCCTACAAAGTGACTTCTGGCCTTGCTCCTTCTTATCTGCTCTCACTTCTGCAGATCTATGTGCCCTCCAGAAACTTGCGTTCTGTGAATGAACGTCGCCTCGTGGTTCCATCCCAAAGAGGGAAGAAATCACTTTCGCGAACGCTCACGCTCAAACTGCCTAGTTGGTGGAATGAACACCCTAACTGCATCAGAACAGCAGAGTCACTCGCTATTTTCAAGAAACAACTAAAAACTCAACTATTTAGTCTCCACTTCACTTCCTAATCTGCAATTGCCTCTCTGAATATCACACTAACTGTACCCAAAAAAAAAAAATACTAATACTACTAATACTTTCCTTCTTAGACCTTACAGACCTGAAACTTGCCTATAGCACTTATTTATTGTTGCTCTTATAGTTGTGTAAATTGCTTCCTTGTCCTCATTTGTAAGTCGCTTTGGATAAAAGTATCTGCTAAATGACTTAATGTAAATGTAAATGTAAACAAGTTGTCACTCACAGCAAATTTGGGCTCCAGATATCCTGGCACCTATGGCTATGAATGTCAGAGCAGTAAAAAATATGGTATTGGAGGGTGATCATGTTTTTTAGCTACAGCCTATATGCTACAACCTTAAATAAATAAAGGGACTAAACCAAAGGAAAATGAATGAATGAATGATGTATTTTTTATGACCTAAAAAAAATATTTATGGACAATATACATAAATTAAATTGAGATTAATGACTGTATTTATTTTAATATTTATTTAGAAATATATAATTTATATTTATTTATTTTTAAATATATTTATTTATTTATTTTTTATTTATAAAATAGAAGCTGGTAAACTTATTCAAGGGCATGCACAGATGGGTGGCATTTTGGTTGTATGCAGTGGGCTGCTCTAGCTCGCTAAAACCAGTTTGAAACAAGTAAGTGAGTAAATAATGAGTGCATTTTCATTTCAGGGTACCTGCCACTTTAACTCTCCCTTTAAGTGCAAAAAAAAAACAAAAAAAACAGACATTTCCTTTTACAAGCTGACTGACAATTGTTTACCAATCCTGCAGAATAAAAGCAAAAACTAGAACGAAATCATTAACTTTAACTGTCATTAACTGTATTTAATCTTTCATTACCTCAATGTGGCTTATCTGCACACACTGTATCTGCACTTTCATTAAGATGGGCACAGTCACATAATTTAAACTCTTAAAATGTACGGTTATTTAACAGTCTGACTTACTAACTGATATATAATGATCTTAATACTGACTAATTGCATAAAGATATTAAAGTGATTTTAAATATAACACAAATGATTACAAATTTTTAAACTTAGCTCAGGCTTATTTCTGTATCTGAATCTTTGTGTCAGTGCCATGTCTGAGTGAGTGATGAGTGTTTGTGTGCTTCAGTGCCGCGCACTGAAACACTGTCATTTGAGAGGTAATTGTTTATATTGTGGCTTTTCATTATTAGTCCCCCTGAATTATTAGCCCCCTGTTTATTTTTTCCCTAATTTTTGTTTAACGGAGAGAAGATTTTTTTCAACATATATCTAAACATAATAATCATTTATATGAGACACTGATTTTTCGGAAGCCTCTCTCTGTCTGATCTTTACCCTGAGCCAATTTAAGCCATGCTCACCCTGAAAGCAGTGCCTTCCTCAATGATGGTGGGCAGCTGGGAAAGGCAAATGTCCACCGCCAGGTCCCATGCTTGCCTACACACATAGGGGAAAAAACAAACAAACATCAAAAACACATTACAGCAGTCAGTCCCACATAGTACTAAGAGAGATTATAGGTGATAATCACACGACAATTTGTCACATTTCAAGTTTAAGTTGAAATATTTGAGACAAATGCAATGAAATTGTTAGCTACTTCAAGCAGCAAGACTACTGAATCCATAAATGAGTGAAGTGGTTTACACAACTTTCTATTATCAAACTGAAAGATCTGAAAAAGGATTTGAGAAGAGGTATTACAACCTAACAGACACCTCCTCACCATTTCTGTTTGTTGTCAAAACAGACAGTTGTAGAAGCATGGTTAAGTTTGTTAGCCATGCTCAATACCTCAAAATCACATAATCTAAAATGTAACAACAGGAAGAGATTTTAACAAAACAGATTTTGATTTTAGATTATAGAAGCAAACTTTGTTTTTTATAATTATTATCAATGACATGCACAGATAAATCCACAAAACCGCCAATTATTCTCCAATGAGAGTCATTTTTAAGCTGTTATCACCAAAAAAGACTTTTATATAAAGTATTAAATACATCTCAATAGTTCTGTACATTCTCCTTTTGTCATTCCATTATAATTACACACACACACACAAAAAGAATCTGATTTTGACTCAGATTTGACTAAGTTTAGGCTTTTTTTTTTTTGTTAATGACAGCTTAAAGACGGCTCTCATATCAAGAATGTCACATGCAATGCTGTGTTGTGATTTTTTTAAAGACTTCAGTGTGAAAGACTTAGAGTGTGAAAATCTTGATGGTTCTGTGGATTTCATCTATTCAAATTGTTCTTTTTTTAATATTTTTTTATTAGATTCAAGTCAGGTGATTGGCCAGGCCATTCTAGAGCTTGATTTTCTTTTTAAGAAAACAATTGAGAGTTTGCTTGGCAGTCATTTGGATCATTGTCTTGTTGAAATGCCTGCTCTGGTTTCATCATCATCATCATCATCCTGGTTTGTCACAATTACCAGTGATCTAACCTTTGCCTGTGACCTCGACTACCCTTCTGGATTACCCTTATGCTCCTGTTTGTACCTGTTGGCCATTGCCTGCCTGATAATTCTTAATAAAACTGCATGTGGATGCTCAACTACATTGCCAGTATCATGTTACACTGAAGATGCTGAACTAAAGCAGCTAATATTAGTTTATAATGAGGAAGGGCAGGGGGTTGCCGAATAACTTCTGTGCGATTTCAGCTGCTGTCTGGGTTTTTACTGACTTTCTACACCTCCCTTTCTTCAATACTTTTTTCATGTGTCATATCATTTTATTACACATAACTTAATTTTTAAACTAATTAGACTTGTTTTCTTTTCATATATGTATTTCTTTGGTTGCCATATATTAGAATATATATATATTAGAAGTCCCCCTTCCTAAATATTTATTAGTCCCCCTGAATTATTAGCCCCCCGTTTATTTTGTTCCCCAATTTCTGTTTTACGGAGAGAACATTTTTTTAACACATTTGTAAACACAATAGCTTTAATAACTCACTTCTAATAACTGATTTATTTTATCTATGCCATGATGACAGTAAGGCGAGGCAGTGGCACAGAAGGTAGTGCTGTCGCCTCACAGCAAGAAGGTCGCTGGGTCGCCGGTTCGAACCTTGGCTCAGTTGGCGTTTCTGTGTGGAGTTTGCATGTTCTCCCTGCCTTCGCATGGGTTTCCTCCGGGTGCTCCGGTTTCCCTCACAGTCCAAAGACATGTGGTACAGGTGAATTGGGTAAGCTAAATTGTCCGTAGTGTATGAGTGTGTGTATGAATGTTTCCCAGAGATGGGTTGCGGCTGAAGGGCATCCGCTGCGTAAAAACTTGCTGGATAAGTTGGTGGTTCATTCCGCTGTGGTGACCCCGGATTAATAAAGGGACTAAGCCGACAAGAAAATGAATGAATGAATGATGACAGTAAATAATATTTTACTATATATTTTTTCAAGACACTTCTATACAGCTTAAAGTGACATTTAAAGGCTTAACTAGGTTCATTGGGTTAACTAGGCAGGTTAGGTTAATTAGTCAATTCATTCTATAATCATTGTTTGTTCTGTAAGCTATTGAAACAAAAAATAGCTTAAAGAGTCGAATAATTTTGTCCTTAAATAGGTTTTTTAAAAAGTTAAATTCTGCTTTTATTCTAGCCGAAATAAAAAAAATATAAGACTTTCTCCAGAAGAAAAAATATTAGCAGACATAATGTGAAAATTTCCTTGCTATGTTATACATCATTTGGAAAAAAATAAATAAATAAATGAAAAAAAAAAATCAAAGGGTATATATATATATATATATATATATATATATATATATATATATATATATATATATATATATATATATATATATATATATATATAAATTTATTTATTTTTTTTGCTTCTCTTGATATTTCCTATTGTTTTATGTGCATTTAATATAATTTCTATAGCATATAAACTTTGGTGTACTAATATTTTGGTCCATTATCTTAAGTTGTTTTGTTAGACAAGCTCCAGATTTGGCTTCAGTCACTAATCTAATGTATATGCCCAAATATAATATTGTATAGCTTCCAATTAAAAATATAAGTTTAAAAGATAGATCTGTGAGGGGTGTACTTATATATACTGAGGACTGTACACATATACTTATGTTTAATAAGATGTACTTGTATTTACTAACTGTTTCTTTAGTTAAACATGAATTTTGAACTGTAGGCCTACATAAGCTCGAAACATCACTTCACGTAAACACCTTAATTATATTATTGTCTATTAAGGCAAATAACTAGATTACTGATGTCCATGTAACCGTAGTCAGTAGTGGCTTTGAAGTAAGTGAAAGATCCAGAAGGACATCCCGCTGACTTGATTCAGAAGGGCCCTTTTTTTCAGACGATTCACAGGTTTGACTTTCAGTCACCGTCATTCATTTTAAAAAGCACCCGCTCCATTTTATTTGTATATGTTTTACTCTAATGCACAGAGTCTACAGGTGCCTGATAGTTAGAGCTAACATTAATCAGCTAACATGGAGCTAACATTAATCAGATTCATTCTAGTGAACTGCTACCATGTTAGCACGTCATGTTTAATGTGGTAATTTCACAGTAAGAATACATACAGGTTTGAAGATTTGTTCTCGCCACAGTGCAATTCAGCCAGGTATTGAGCTTAAATATAAAGGTGAAAGTCATCATAACTTAAAATAGAACATAAAATAGACCCAGCTCCCAACCAAACTTTGAGAATAGATTAACGGCAATAATTTTTAGTTAAATCGCCTGAGTCTTACGCTAGGGCAGCACATTAACGCCGATAGCGACCCACCACTAATATATATATATATATATATATATATATATATACACCCACACACACATACATACATACATAGTTGAAAATTATTAGCCACCCTTAGATTTTTCTTTTCTTTTTTTATATATATTTCCCAAATGATGTTAAAGAGGGCAAAGAAATTTTCACAGCATGTCTGATAATATGTTTTCTTCTGAAGAAAGTCTTATTTGTTTTATTTCAGCTAGAATAAATCAGTTTTTTTTTTATATCATTTAAAAGTCAAAACTATTAGCGACTTTAAGCTATGCTTTTCTTTAATAGTTTACAAAACAAACAATCATTACACCATAACTTGCTTAATTACCCTAACCTTCCTAGTAAACCTAATTAAGCTAGTTAAGCCTTGAAATGTCACGCTGTATAAAAGTGTCTTAAAAATATCTAGAAAGTTCTTATTTACTGTCATCATGGCAAAGATAAAATAAATCAGTTATTAAAAATTAGTTATTAAAACTAATATGTTTAGAAATGTGTTGACAAAAATATTTTCCCCGTAAAACAGAAATTGGGGAAAACATAAACAGGGGGTATTACATTACATTACAATTACATTACAATGTAGTATTACAATCATACTCATAATCTCAAAACAGTGACTCGTACCCTTAAACACAAATAGAAACAAACTAAATATGAGGTCTTTAGGACTGCATAAAAAAATAGTATGTGCAGGTATAGGAAGGCTCTAAAATATGGCAGGGCTAAGCACCTTCGCAAACTGATATGACCAACTGACAATAACCAGAAACTTACAAACTTACAACACTTAACAAGTAATCAGTTGTTGTCTGAACAAAACAACCAACCTAAAATTAATTTTTTAATTTTTTACTTAATTTTTTTTATTTATTTTTTTTTTATTGACAAAACAGAAGACTTAGAAAATAGAAGATGCTAAACTTTCTGGATCATCTTATATTTCATATTTATGAAAAATCCCATAAATAATAGAAAAAATAAATAAAATAAAAATAAAAAAATAGGACAGAAAGAGCTAGAACAACTTATCAATACGTGTATATCAGCATGTTACATCAAAATCCAACAAAATTACTGAAAGAGTTGTTACTTATAGTATGACAACCAATGTTATTAACTCTTCTCCATGTCTAGGCCACACTTCCAACATTTTTAAGCTAGCTGGTATTGAGCCACTTAATAAGAAACCAGAACTTGATTCCAGCAACTTAGCTAATTATAGGCCTATTTTTAATATTTAATTCATATCCAAAATATTAGAAAAATAAATGTCTGCCCAATTAAGTTCTTTTCTATAGATGCACCATATTATTGAAGTTATTGGCAACTGTATATACTGTAGGCCTCCAGGGCCACATACCGACTTTACAAAAGAATTTGCTGATTTCTTATCTGAAATAGTTCTGGCCAAAGATAAAATTTGAATTGTTGGTGATTTTAATATTTATATAGATAATGAAAAATATGCTTTAAGTCTGGCCTTCTTAGACATACTAGCTTCTATTAGAGTGAAACAGAATGTCTCGGAGCCTACTCATTGACATAATCATACCTTAGACCTAATAATCTCACACTGTATCGATGTGCAGCAGGGTGATGACATTTCAGATTTAGCCCACTATTTAATATTTTATTTATTGTG